AGCTCCTCAAGGGCTCCTGAAGGGCCCCAGGAAGGGCAGTATAAGAAAGCTTTTCCCTAAGCTCCGCCCCTGAAGTCGGACACATTAGAATGTGAATATACGATGCTGACAGCTATTTCCAGATCTTCAAGTCTGAAAAATTTGATTCATAAAATGTGGAGGAGAGGCATGGCGGGGTGGGACAGAGAGAGCGGGCGAGGGCAGAGCCCCGGGTGGCTGCGGCTGGTGGGGCCAGCGAAGGCTCATGGGAAGGGCTGGCGAGGCCAGACACAACCTGGTGTGGGATGCAGGCTCCAGGCCCACGTAAAGGCGGCTCTGGTTGGGCGTTCTCTAGGGAGGCGTGTCTTCTCCTCCCAGTACCATGGTTGAGACAAGCCGGAATCCAATCCATTTCCCAGTTTAGCCATTTCAGGTGTAGCCTTTGGGGGTCCCTGGTTTTCAACAGTGGTGGTGGGGGTGGGTGTCGGATCCAGTGTTCTTCCATCTTGGTCCCGGTCTTTGTGTCTTGTCCCCCTCTGTATGTGTCTCCATGAAAACCCAGGCTCGGGCCCACCAGAGATGAGCAAGTCTCTCCAGTGACTGAGCAGCCACACGAGCCGGCAATGGACTGAGCCTCCAGGGAGACCCACGGCTTCCCAGAGGTGGGCCCTGGATCGGAACAGGGGTCTGTTAGCAGGCAGCCCTCCTTGAACTACTTTGCTAAGGCTGCTGGAACGAATTACTACAAATTCAGTTGATTTTAGCAACACAAATTTATTATCTTTGTTCGGAGTCTGCACTGGGGCTCACTGGGCTAAGATCAAGGTGGGGCAGGACTGGGTTGCCGAGGCTCTGGGGGAGAATCTGTTTTCCTACCATTCTTGCTTCTGGAGGCCACCCAGACTCCTTGGCAGTGGCCCCTTCCTCCATCTTCAAAGCCAGCCTATCACCCTGACGTGGACCCTTCTGCCTCCGGGGACCCTGTGATTATACCGGGTGCACTCACACACACCTGGGTCATCTCCCCACCTCAAGGTCAGCTGTTAACAGCCTTAACCGCCCCCCCCCCTTTGCCAGGTACACTAATATATTCACAAGTTGTGGGGTTTGGGAAGCGGCATCTTTTGGGGCCATTTTTCCGGCCACCATGCTCAAGGGCAAATAACCCCACATTTGGACAATTTCAAGGAGAAGGCAAGCCCTCCTGGGGGATGACCTCTCGGCCTGCTCCCCACAAGGCCCTGTACTCTGGAGGGAGGGGATAAAAGAGAGGCGGAGGCTGGCAAGGCCAACAAGTGAGCCTTCCTATGGGATGGACTCCATTGCTTTGCAAAGTGCACACCAACCAAAGTCATCCTTCTGGGCAATACCCACACGCGACTCTGGAGAACAGCCAGAACCCCAGAGGTGACCCTGCTTCAGTGGTTCTGCAGAAGGGAAGTCAGAAAGGTCCTCTATACACCAGACAGGAGACACTTCTTGCCATGTGCCCCAAGGTGGCCCTGTGCTGGTGACTGGAGTCCCTCTGTAGACCTACCTAACTCTAAGACTCCTGTATTAGGATGAGTTAGAAATGGGCTACAGACAGCGACACTAGGGAACCTGTCAACCTCAAGAAAACTTCAATGCGGCGAGGTAACACTGTTAAACATCACACAGCTCCCAACCCAGCGGCCTATCCCTTGTAGATATTAGTTTTGCTCCAAAAGACCCAAAGGCTTAGCTAAAATCGTAATAACAATTCTGAGGATAAGCATACTACCTCCTGGCACACCCACTTATTTTAAGTCTAGGAACTATAGTCTCAGAAACTTTAAATACCTGCAAAAATGGCAGAA